TGGAATAAACCCTTCAAGGGTTTATTGACGAAGTTTTTAAGTGCAAGGGTAGATCATTACCCGGATTTTTTTATCAGTGTAGGGAAATCAACATAAATTTCAGATTTCGAAATGAATGGTAAAAGTATAATTTTTTTTTGTTTTCTTTTTTTAAAAAATACGCATAGTATTGAAATAAATAAGAGGTATGTTATTATTTTTTTTTATTTATTTATGTTTTTGATAGAGTTCCAGTATTTTCGAAAAATACAAGAACAAAAAGAAACAAAAGAAAAAAATAGAAACAAGAGAGGACAATAGGGAAAAAGAAATAGTTAAATTAAATATATATATATAACGCGAGGCCTTTCGAATTAATCTTTTCAAGCGAGTTAATATGAAAAATAAGAGTATAATACAACGCTGCTTATATATTTCATCTAAGCAATCTACTCATTAACTTGATTAAGCAGACTTAATTGTTTATATAGAACGTTACTAATTAATCATCTAATCATCACTAGAACGCATGCATATTCTAATGATTATCTTTTGCCAATTGTCTAAGTTAGAATAAGCATTCTTTTCAATCTTACTGTTCTATCAAATTCCAATAGAGATTGTTTATTCCTAAAAAGAACAATCATTTCATACATTAAATAATTGTATCATTATCTAGCTGTGCGTCCCTTTTTTTGCCTGATCATTGACTTTAAATGCAGTATTATTCAGTGATATTATATGATCTATTATATTTAATGCATTATAATGCATTATTATTCAATGTTTTTCATATGTCTATTAGATTTAATGCTTTTTAATACTTTTTTAAATTCAGTGACATGATTTGAGTCATTGATTATATTTAATACATTATAATGCATTAAAATGCATTATGACTATAAGAATTCAGTAATGTTGATTATTCTGAATGTACTATAATGCATAATATAGTAAGACAATTTGACGGCATTTCTTATTTTTAACGCATTATGATGTATTAAATTAAATGAAAATAATGATGTTGATGATATTCAATATATGGTTACGTGTTACAATTTAACAAAATAATGACACCAAATATATTCAATGTGCTCTAATGTAGAAGAATTACAACAATATGATTATGTTGATTATGTTAAATGTGTTATAATATATTGCAGTTAGAATAATATGATTTTATTCGTTATGCTCAATTTACTAAAATATATTATAGTTATCAAAATATGATAATGTTGACTATCGTGAAGTGTATTATAATGTATTCTGGTTAAAGTCATGTATTCGTGATGATTATGTTTGATATACGCTATAATGAAATGCATTTAAAGAAAATTATGTCGTTGAATAGATTCAATGCATCATCAAGGATTACATTTAAAACGATATGATGGTAATTTTTATTTTTAATGCATTAATATTAAACAAAATAAGAATGCCGAATATATTAATCTATTATAATGTGTTGCAATTAAAGGGATACGAACTTGTAGATAATGTTCAATGTATTATCATGAGTTACAGTTAAATGATGTGATGATGTTTAGTATATCTAGTACATGGCAATGTATTACAACTAAAACTATATGATTTTGTTGATATATCGATATGTATTGTAATGCGTTAGAATGTTATAATGTTGTGATATTTAATATGTTCAATACATAAGTATTCATTAAGATTTGCTCAATATGATCGTTTTGATTATTGCTAATGTATTATAATGCATTGCAAGTTAAAAGATTTTATAATCTTATTTCTATTGCCCTTTTTGTAGTTTAAAGGATACAATTATGTTGATTCTGTTCAATGAATCATTCTATACTGGGACTAAAGCGAGCTTTCAATGTGCTGATATGTGTCACACTTTTATAAATAGGAATTTTATTTTGAAATAGATAGAGTGAATGTTCATATGGTTCGCATTTTATTTTTCATGTTAACCTGTACAGTAAATTCAAACAAATCTGTATGTTTACATATATATATGGATATACAAAAAAATATGAACACCTTTGTTACAAAAAATTATGATTTTGACGATTTACTATTTTCTTGTTCATGTTTGGCAGCCGCAAAAACGTTGCCTATAGCATTGGTAACTTTGTAGGCAGATGCATCAGGTTGATGGTGAACAAGTTTGGCATATTCTAAGATAATAGGAAATGATTATTTGAAATTAATTCATTATGCTCTTACCACGAATCGCAGTAATTGTTTCATTTGGCAGCAAGGAAGTAAACCCGTTACCCCCTGGCACTAATCTAGCAGAGTTGCTATTAAGTCGACCATTGTAGTTGATCATACTAGTACTCAGTATAACATTGATATGATCGCATTTGAAGGAAGTCCTCTCCCTATAGAGATACAGGATGGGCCAAAAATGACCCATTCGTCTTGGAAGACATAAAATCGCACCGTTTAGCAATCAATATTTTTGCTAAAATTTTACGTAATGTTAGATTTATATATCTGTAAAAAGTTATAAATTTCTTCGTATAACTAGTTATTTTAAGAAAAAGTGATTATTTAGAATCGTACATGATAAGTTTCTTTCTATTACATCAAAATTCATGGTGAAAAAATAGTAAAAAAATCAAATATTCGTCTATGATATAAGTATTCATTTAGTTTTTACAATGATAGATTGTAAAACAATTACGAGGTACATTGAGACAAAAATGAACTTGACATTTAGAACAATACACATTCGTCTTCAATGTACAACCATCATTTTTGCATCGTAGACGTAAATTTTGCTGAATTTGTGGACAATGTTCTATTCCATCATATCGAGTTGGTAGCCATTAGTCGAATGAATTTTCGTCGAATGAACTTTTGGTCGAATGGAAAAAAAACGATTCGTCGAATAATATTTCGTCGAATGACGTTTC